TTGCAAAAAGTATATAGGCAGCAACTTTTGACTTGATGTAACATTTGAGATGCTGGATCACTAGGCATAATTTTATTTTCTCCATGATTGAGCAGAACAGCCGAGAAAAATAAAAGATTTTGTCTGCTTTATGTAATAGCATAATCCATAGCACACCCAGACAGAGATAATTTTTTATAATGGGTTTGATAGGTGTTTCTTTAAGATGTTGGGGTGGGAAAAATAATCTTTATTACAGTTCTTTAAGGTTTTGAATTATAAAATATCTCTACTGTAATAGAAGCATTTATTTATTTTCATTTTTAAATTTTAAAAATAGCATTCTTTTCGGAACTGCCTTAGGAATGTAATAATAACAAAATAGATAAAAATCACTACATATTTATTCTAGAACATAAGATACAGAAAATGATTAGATGCTATGCAATTCTTTTATGAGCTAAACATAGCTCTGACACTATAATCCAATAAAGATGTGACACACCAAAAAAATTCATAGACAAACCTTACTTATGAATATTAGACACAAAACAAATAAAATGCTAGCAAACCTAGTCCAAAATATATTAAAACTTTAAGGCATTGAGGTCAAGGAAAATTTACTTCAGACTGGAAAACTGACAATATAAGGAAACGTTAATAAAATAACTACATCAATTGATTTATTAGAAAAATCATATGATCCTCTCAGTAGATGCTGAAAGGCCACCAGATGAAATTCATCACCCATTTATACTCGTAATAAAAACATATTATTATATGAAGTTAAAATAAACATGATGAATATTCCAAATAAAAAGTCAATTATACATAGTAAAGATACATTATTTATCATTATTACATATTTCATATTTTTATGTCATTTTTAGCCATTGTAATGAAGTATGAAACAGAAATAAGAGAAACAGTGAAAAGGCAACACAAGAATTTTATATATTTTTCAGATTATATAATTGCAGTGCAAGAAAATTCAAAAGAACTAACTCATAGCTTTTTCTTAGGAATACCGAGATTAAACATTAACTCTGCAGAAGTCAACATATTTCTGTAAAATCATCAAAATCCAGTTAGAGTATACGTAAAGTAAACCCGTTCCCAAGCAAAATTCTTAATGTGTGATGTGCATCATCTTTAAAAGGAAAACTGCAATCCTTATTGAGAGATATAAATGGAAACAAATAAATGAGGAAAACATCATGTTCTTTCATGGCAAAAATAAATATCACAAAGATCTTGATTTTTTTCAAATTAACTTATAGGTTTGATGCAATTCCAGTTAAAACGTTATTTTTGGAGGCCTTAAGAATGATAATAAAATTTATAGGAAAAACCAAAAAAAACCATAAAAAGATATTTTATCTGATAATAAAATACATCAAATAATAAATTACATTACTATCAGATAATTAAATACATTACTGTGGCTTAAAACAATGCCTTTGACTAATCTCCCCTCCCCGAAAAACTGATAAGAAACCAAGTTCCCCAATACCTCTGGGCCACCCTGAAGCTGGGTCTTGGTAGGTGTAGATTTCTTCTCCTTTTTCTTTTTTCCCTATGGTCTGCCATCTGGTGGCCTGAATCAGCAACTGTATGTTTCCACTGCCGCAAGAGGCCTAGGGTTGGCTGTTGCTGCTCCTTTAGTTTACACTTTAACTGGTTAGCCAAAGAATTAGAGGTGAGTGCCTGGGTCAAAGGGCACTAAATGACATCTTCCAATCTTACTTAAAAGCACTCCGATATAAAATGACATGATGTCTGGGAAAAATGTTGATCATTGTTGAAGCATGGTGTTTCTTTTGTGCATGTTTGCAAATTTGTGCAATAAAAAGTTAAAAATAGAAACAAAACAAAAAATCATTGCTCTCACAAACATAGATGGCCAATTAATATATGAAAGAAGCTTCAATTTCATTAACCTTTAAACACAGGCAAATATGGAAAAGCAAGTAAAACAAGTAAATATTTTTTACCTTTCAGATTTAAAAAAAAGCATTAAAACACTAATAGTTTTTAGTGCTGAAAACATGTAGAAAAATAAGCACATGATCTTTTGGTGAGAGTATCAGTGGTATTGCCTTTTGGAGGGCAATTTGGTGATACTGATGGAAAATTTTCTTGTTCCAAAAATGTTCCATATTCTTCCACCCAAAATTCCACTTCTCTTTTATGAAACTACTCAGGCAAGAATGCAAAAATGCATGTACACTGATGTTTGTTGTAGCATTGTTTATAAGAGCAAAATACTGGAAATGAGCATGAATAAGATACTCATTAAATAAAGGTACATCTATATAATGGAATGCCATGCATTTAAAAGAATAGTCTCTTTGTATTCATATTGAAAGATATCCTTGGAAAATGAAGTAAAACTAAGTTGTATAAATGGGAATGCCCTGATTTTGGTTAAAGAAGATAATAATATATGTTAATATGTGCATTTAAAAAAAATCTGGAGGCCAATAATCACATAATTACAGTGGTTGTCTTTAGTTAGTAGGAAAAATAAGAGACTTTCACTTTATTCATTTTATAGTTCTGTAATGTTTAAGTGTTTTCCAATGCAAATATATTACTTTTCCAACAGAAAAAGCAATAGAGATAAAATTTAAAAATGAATAAATAAAAGGATGCTTCCCTACCATCCTTAAAAAATGTTCCAATATTAAGCCTAATTCTCTACTTCCTCCCACATTAGGACAATTCCCATTCCGGATGGTTCCAGCTCTTCCGAAGGTGGGAGAGGCTTCTGTCATCCTTTTTTTTTTGAGAGTCTTGATCTCAATGTCCTGGGCTCCAAATATGAATCTTGAAATTTTCTTTACCATTTCTCTCAGAATATTCTGAAAGAAACTAGAGCAATAGGACACTCAGTGGCTTCCTTACTATGCCAGAAGCCCAAACTATCGAGTTTATTAAGCTCAAAGTAGTGGCCTTCACGGTGGGTGCACAAGATGATCCACTGGCACTCAGGGAAAAATATCAGGATTTCAACCTGTATATATATGTATATTTTAAAGATTTTATTTATTTATTTATTTTCCCCAAAGCCCCAGTAGATAGTTGTATGTCATAGCTGCACATCCTTCTAGTTGCTGTATGTGGGATGTGGCCTCAGCATGGCCTGAGAAGCGGTGTGTCGGTGCGCGCCCGGGATCCGAACCCGGGCCGCCAGCAGCGGAGCGCAAGCACCCAACAGCCAAGCCACGGGGCCAGCCCCTAGCAATTTCTTTATGAAAGGAGGAAACTGGCAGAACAAAGGTGGGACTTCTATTTTCAGCTGGTTTAGGAGACAGAAAAGCAGAACAATAAACCACAGTAATCCACCTCTGGTGTCACAAAATTTTAGCCTAAGAATGATGTTCTTCTTTGCTTTTACCCCTTTGCTTTTTACCCCTTTTAATGGAAAAACCACACCACTTTACCACACCCATTTCTAGCAAGTGGTGTTTGGAGCATGGCTATCCACTAAGAAAAATAATTAACTTGTTACCTCCCATTTCAACTCTACATGGAAAATATAAAACTTCTATACAGCAAGACACAATGAACTAAATTAAAAGACAAACGACAAACATGTCATTGCAACATGTGACAGAGTTAAAATTCTTATAATAATGTATAAAAAGTTCTTACAAATTAATAAGAAAAAAGAACATTCTAATAAGAAATAGTTAAAGGATACGAAAAGATAACACAGGAAGAAACACAAAGGCTAATCAATGAAACAATGCTCAATTTCAAATTTAAGAATGCAAATTAAAATTATGTATCTTTTTTAACCTAGTAGATTGGCAAAGATATTTTTCAAAAAGATTTTAAAAAATAGGTTCACTACTTTTCCCTTTGGGAATTTATTCATAGGAAATAATGAGACTAGGGTTCAAAAACGTATGTGCAAGTATGTTCATTACAGAATTGTTTACGAGTTTAAAAAATTGAAGTAATTTAACTTAGCAATTGAGGATTGGTCAAATAAATCAAGGTATATATATTCTTTCACGTAGCAATTCTGCTAGAATCTACCCCCTGGAATAGTCCATAAAACCAACAGTTCTTAGAGGCACAAACATGTTTATTTCAGCAGTTTGTAGAAGGGAAAAAATGGCATGGCACACCCACACGATGAAGGGAGCAAAAAAACCCTGCATACTAATGATCACATTTATGCATCCAAGTAAGATATTGTGTGTACATACACAGACGAAATAAAAATAACAAAATGGTAGTTTATAGAATATTGTGCAGCTGTAAAGGATAGTTTTATATTTTCATAGGAAAAGACCATATATGAAGAGAAAAAAGTTTCATAACTGTACATATAATATGACCCCATTTATGTAAATATATATAAAGCTGTTTGAAGATATTTTGGGAGCCAAGTACCTTGACGATGACCTTTGAAGACCCACTCCACAATGGACCCCCATCTAAAACTTGAGTTGGTGTTATTAGATATAAGATTTGGTTACATAGACATTTACTTAAAGAAATATTAATTTTGATATCGCCCTTGAAAAGCTCCCAATTCTAGTTTTTCTAACTACGCATGAAAGGTTCAAGAGCTGCCTGGAGCTGCCCAAGGCAAACTTCAGAGCCAATCAGCAAGTCTTACAGAGCTACTTTGCTCGGCTTTGTATTTTCAAACAACCCTTTAATTACAAACATTTCTGGGCCAGCGCTTCTGAAAATGTGGGGACTGACGGGCTGCGGAACTGAAGCCCCTTCAGTCAGGGGCCAGGTAACTGTAGGCCCTCACTGCGACGTTTCTAAACCTTCGCTCCCACGCACTTCTCAGAAAAGGGTACAAGAACATTCCTTCTAGGACCTCCAGCCAATGGTGACACTTCTGCTCTCAGCCCTAGCAACTCCGGGCCAATGGGCGGAAGGCTATCTTTCGAGCCGCTACTGTTCTTTTCCAGCCAATCGTAAACGTTCTTCAAATGCCCTTCTCCGAGATGCGCAGGCTCCTGGGAAGATGGCTTCACTTCCGGGCGGCAGCGAGGGGCGGCTACGCGTGTTGCCATAGCGACCATTTTACGTTAACTGCTTTGTAGCTTCCTTCCAGGCGGCAGGGCGACCGCGGGGGAACTCTTTCTTCTCCCATTCCTCCTGGGCCCCCTGCGGCCGGAAGGCCTTCGTAGGCTCCGGGGGTCTGGCCTAAGGTTCCGCGGCGCCCCGCGTGGGGGCGGAGGGATGGCTGCGGAAGAAGAGGACGACGTGGAATGGGTGGTGGAGAGCATCGCCGGGTTCCTGCGAGGCCCGGACTGGTCCATCCCCATCTGGGACTTCGTGGAGCAGAAATGTGAAGGTAACACCTAGAGCCCGAACCAACAGTCCTTTCCCTCCTCTCTCACACCAGCAGTCGGCAGGGAGGTGGTCACCACAAACCATGTCTCATCCGCCGCCTCTCCACCCCTGTCCGCCAGGTGTAGAGCTGGATTGTGGGAGATATTGCTGTTACTGCGCCAGTGTTTTCCTTCACGGAACTGAAAACGCAGACCGCGACTTCCCTCCCCGTGGGCCCAAGCACACGTCCGAAAAACATGAGACTTCAATTCTCTGTTGGGTCTCTGACCCCGTCCTGCACGTTTCTGGCCTGGCAGGTGCACTGTTTGGGTGGGCTTCAACAGCTTTCCCAAGGACTTGGAAGGAGAGGCGTCAGTTTGCCTCTGAGTTCCTTCTGATCCCAACAGTTGACCGCAAAGGGGGGCATGTGATTACTCCTGCAGGCCCAGAGCCGGTGATCCGGGGGGCCTGTATGTATTCCCTTTATGGAGCTCTGTGACTCTCGGCTGTACCAAAAATGGGGGTATCTTCTAACAAATGAGGTATATAAACGTGACATAATATTCCCTGTGGGGGAAGGGCACCTCCAGGTTCTGAGGAGCTCTGCATTCACTTCTTGGGGACAGACCTGAGCCCATGCACGCAAAAGGAACGAGAAACCACGTCCTACGAATGAATTCCAACTGTTACCGTGGTTGTTTAGCTGGGCAAGACTTTGAGGGTAGTAATATCCATCAATCATTTGAACGTCTGTCCCACGTTGGAGGGATTAGACTTGTTTTGTAGGGTTCATTGGGTTAGAGCTAGGGTCAGTGGGTACAAGCTACAGGGAAACAAATTTCTATGAAGGAAGTGCTTCATAACAGACTGTATCCCAGATGAGTTAGTCAGCCTCAGAAGATAATGAGTTCCCCAGGCACTAGCGGTGTTGGAATGGACATGACAGCAACTTAGTGGAGATGTTATAGATGGGGATTCTATTATCAAATGGTTGGTTGTCCTGGAGGACCTTTTAAGAGTCCTTTCAACTCTAAGATTCCATGAATCTGGTAAAGATAAAAGTTTGACCACGGAATCTTTTCATTACATTCTCATTGCCATAATCCAAATTCAAATAGTTTTTATTAGGTATTGTTTTTACAGGTAACTTTTTAAGAAGTTCAAAATAATTTTTATTTGTGCTTTTTTTAAGAATTTAAAATACTATTATGAGACTGATGAAGCATGTGGAATTCTGACGTCGTTTAGGAGAAAAAAATATGTCACCTTTTGATTCCATTTACCTCACTGAGACTAAATGCTGAAATGGAAAAACGTTAAAGCATTGTTCTTCCTTTTATTCCCAGACATCAAAAGTGGCTGGATGTTGGTAATAACACACCTGATTGTGTAATTTTACAGGGAAGCAAATAATCCTCAGACTTTTGAACGTGTAATGTAGTAATTTGGATCCAGAATTAACTGAAAACAGCTTGAGTAGCTGCTCTATTGCGTATATGCCTGGTGTTATTTAGAGCAGATGCCAGGAGAAATGGAAGTAACATCCCAAGCAAACTTAAAATAACAGTGTTTGTACTTCACTGACCTTGGGTTGTGAGTGTGTTGTTTTCCACCTCAGATAATTTAAAGATTAGTTTTGTACAACTCTGTGATATCAGCATTTTTTTCAACATTTACTGAGTGTCTTTGGGCTGGAAGCTGGGGATAGAAAGATGAGTAAAACAAAATCTTTGTGCATGAGAAGTTTATAATTTAGTAGGAAAGACAGGCAAGTAAATATAATTTAAATATAAAGTGGCAGATGTTATAATAAAGGTAGGCACATGGTGTTGTGTGTTATAAGAGTTCAGAGGATCTAACCAGAGGAAGGGATCTAACCAGCCTAGGAGTTGGGAGTGGGGGGCAGATCATGGAGAATGTGCCACTTGCCATGTCTGGAAGAATGGTTGGGAGAAGGGGATTGGGATAAAGGCAAAAAGATCTAGGGACAGACAGCTTGAGCGAAGGCTTGGGGGTTTGAAGCACTGTGTGTGTTATGTTTGGCGGTATTCCAAGTAATTATGTATTGTTAAGAGTGCGAAGTTTGGGTTTTGGAGTGGTGGAACATGGGATCCAATCTTGGAGGGTTTTGTCTGGCCTTCTAAGGACTTTGCGCTTATTCTCTAGGCAAAGAGCAGTCAGTGAAGAGTTTTAAATAGAAAATTTAGGGGCCTGCCGGGTGGTGTAGGGTTAAGTTCGTGTGCTCCTCTCTGGCGGCCTGGGGTTCCCTGGTTCGGATCCTGGGTGCAGAACTATGCACCACTCATCAAGCCATGCTGAGGCGGTGTCCCACATAGAAGAACTAGAAGGACCTACAGCTGTGTACTGGGGCTTTGGGGAGAAAAAATGAAAAAAGGAGGAAGATTGGCAACAGATGTTGGCTCAGGGCCAATCTTCCTCAAAAAGAAAAAAATTTACATAAGTTAGTTTTGCATTTTAGAAAGCTCATTCAGGGGGAATTAAAAAAAAAAGTTTATTGTTTACAATTCATGAATTTGTCCTGTTTCCCTAATTAGGTTGTAGCTGCTTGAGGGAATATACATCTTTCTAATCTACATTGTGTCACATGTATGATCATTCAGTAAACATTTGTTTTGGTTTTATTTATTTTAACTTCATTATTGATTTATACGTAACAAAAATAGCCTAGTCACTTCAAGTAAAACTCTCGTCAACAAAGTCTCAGTATGATAAAATAATCGGGAGCCTGTTGTAAAAAGAATGTTTAAAAACTGTTAACAGGGCCGACCCCGTGGCTTAGCGGTTAAGTGCGCACGCTCCGCTGCTGGCGGCCCGGGTTCGGATCCTGGGCGTGCACTGACACACCGCTTCTCCGGCCATGCTGA